GTGAGCTCAACAGGGTCTCTCTTGCCTATTTCTATAGTGTCCTCCTTGGGGTTCCTTAATTCCCCTAAGACCACAGTCACAGTCATCCACTCATCAGTGTAGTGAAGGAAAGCCCTGGAGAACTGAGTACTTGCTTTCCTCTGTTGGAAGGACTGACTTTTAGAGCATCTTTATCCTTCCTGGCGGAGATGGCAGCAGAAGACGTGGCCTCACCCCCTCTTCTCCCACATACTTTATTCCTCTTCATGGCGTCTTTTCTTTCTTTTTCTTTTTTTTTTCTCTCGACACTGTATTTTTAATTTATTTCTTTGTCAATTTTCATCAATTTCTTTTTTTTTTTTTTATTGTTCTTTAAGTTCTTGCAGGATTGTTGTAAAGGTACCCACATGCCATGCTAGTTTGCTGCCTTCATTCCCTCATCACCTACATCAGGCATTTCTCCCAATGTTATCCCTCCCCAATATCTCCACCCCCTGCTATCCCTCCCCTAGTCCCCCACCCCTCAACAGACTCCGGTGTGTGATGTTCTCCTCCCTACGCCCAAGTGTTCTCATTGTTCAACAACTGCCTATGAGTGAGAACGTGCGGTGTTTGTTTTTTCTTTTTTTGTTCTTGTGTCAGTTTGCTGAGAATGATGGTTTCCAGATTCATCCATGTCCCTGCAAATGGCATTAACTCATCCTTTTTATGGCTACATAGTATTCCATGGTGTATGTGTGCCACATTTTCTTTGACCCATCTATCATTGATAGGCATTTGGATTGGTTCCAAGTCTTTGCTATTGTAAACAGTGCCACAATGAGCATATGAATGCATGTGTCTTTATAACAGAATGATTTATAATCCTTTGGTTATATACCCAGTAATGGGATTACTGGGTCAAATGGTATTTCTATTTCTAGAACCTTGAGGAATCGCCACACTGTCTTCCACAATGGTTGCACTAATTTACACTCCCTCCAACAGTGTAAAAGCATTCCTATTTCTCCACATCTTCTCCAGCATCTGTTGTCTCCAGATTTTTTAACGATCGCCATTCTAACTGGCCTGAGGTGGTAGGCAATACCATTGAGGACATAGGCATAGGCAAGGACTTCGTGACTAAAACACCAAAAGTAACAGCAACAAAAGTCAAAATAGACAAATGGGATCTACCTAAAATCCAGAGCTTCTGTACAGCAAAAGAAACAATCATTAGAGTGAACCACTAACCAACAGGATGGGAAAAAATCTGGGGGATCTACACATCTGACAAAGGGCTAATAACCAGAATCTACAAAGAACTTAAACAAATTTACAAAACTAAACAAAACAAACAAACCCATCAAAAAGTGGGTGAAGGATATGAACAGTCACTTTTCAAAAGAAGACATTTATGAAGCCAAAAAACTTATGACAAAACGTTCATCATCGCTGGTCATTAGAAAAATGCAAATCAAAATCATACTGAGATATCATCTCATCTGTTAAGTTCTTAATGACAATGATTATATTTTTTCATTTCCAAGACTTCCCCTTGATTTTGTTTCATAAAAGTCAACTCCCGTTCTTGTTCATGGATATAATACCATAATCCATTTCGCTAAAGATATTAATCACTTTGAGTAATGTTTAGTTCTAAGGCCCTGTGGGCTGTACAATCTTCTTGTTCTTATTATTCTCAGACTTTTGGAAATTTCTATTTCCAGCCACCCTGAACCATGGGCTCATCTTTCCTGAACTCTCAGGTATCTCAGCTTGGGCAGCCTGTCTGGGACAAGGGGCTAAAGCAGCTGCCAGTGTTTGGGCTTCTTCTTATTTTTTGTGAGAACAGGAGATGGGTAAATAGAGCTAAAGACAGCAACTGGTCTTCAGAGCTTCTCTGGGCTCTCTGTCAGCTACCTGGGGCCCTTCCCTGTCTCTCCATCCTCAACACTACAGAGGAGGAGTGCTCAAGTGTTCACAGGACAAACTGTCCCCACTACAAAAGCTCTACCAAATGCTCATTGGCTGTTCCTAGCCCTCTCCTGCTCCAGGGCTCCACACTTCCAGATATAGAGCAATTATTATGCTGCACCCATGACTTAGTCTATTCTTTTCTCTTGCCCATCTCAAGTCCCACCTCTCAGTCCCTCGGGAAATCCTTGAAGCCTCTAGATCATGAAGAAGCCTACTTCCTGTTGGTAGGTATGACTAGAGATGCATGTGTTTATCCCAGTTCCATAATTCTCTAGATTTGGTACAGTAGAGGGAGCCCGCAGCACAGTTACTCAGCCTTACATATTGAAACCACCACATTCAAAATCTCACCCTTAAACTGAGCCTCCTGAAAAACACACAGGATATACAGGAATTCACGGAAACATTGGTACCCATTGGATATGTTGGCCATAGACTCAGTTTTCCCCTTCCCCTCTTTGAGTCTGCATCACAAGAAATGACATTCCCAGACTTTTTTAACAGCTGGCTTCTGGGTAACTTCAGCCAATGGGAAGCACTGGTGGAAGACTGAAAGGATGATGTGGGAGAAGCCAAGGATCTCCCTCTGGATGGTAACTCAACTAGCACCTGTGGCTCTTCAGTGGCTGCAGCTGCTGTCAGACAGCACTCAGTATGGTCTAGCTTCTGCCTGTCAGCTCCTACTCTTAAGTTCTGATAGCATCACCTTCTCCTATTGTCCCTACAATCTTAGGGGCATAGAAGTTCCTGCTGTTCTGATCTCTAGGGTGTTGCTTCATTTCCTGTTTAGCTTCTCAGCAAAACTGTCTCCTGGCAATCAATTTCCTATATTAAATTCTTTGTGTTAAAAGGCCTAGAGTCGTTCTGTTTTCTTGGCTGGATCCTGACTTGTAGATCAAAATTCTGAAGAGACATTTTCAAAGACAGTAATTGGTAATTCCTGTCTTTGAGGGGAAAGGAGCACCATAGTGAACATAGTATTAGGTTAGTGTTCTCAATATCTACCATATCCTAAGTTGTTTGAAGAAATGACATAAGACTTTTTTTTCACATGAATTTTTGGCAACATGTTTCCCCTTAATTGCAAATATACCACAGAGCAGTCTGGCAAGAAAAGCTTTAGGGACTATCATATTATTAAACACAGTGTTCTGGAATTAGAAAACACTACCCTGGAGGAGTGAAAGCTTTAACTCTAACAGAAACCTTGCTAAGGCTTCTCAAGCTTTAGACTTACCTCAGGGGCAGCTAGGAAATAGTTTAAAAATCAGGAGACAACAGATGCTGGAGAGGGTGTGGAGAAATAGCAACACTTTTACACTGTTAGTGGGAGTGTAAATTAGTGGAACCATTGTGGAAGACAGTGTGGCAATTCCTCAAGGAGCTAGAAATAGAAATGCCATTTGACCCAGCAATCCTGTATACACTAAAAGGAATTTAAATTGTTCTATTATAAAGATACATGCACTCGTATGTTCATTGCGGCACTGTTTACAATAGCAAAGACTTGGAACCAACCCAAATGCCCATCAATTACAGACTGGATAAAGAAAATGTGGCACATATACACCATGGAATACTGTGCAGCTATAAAAAAGGATGAGTTCATGCCGTTTGCAGGGACAAGGATGAATCAGGAAACCATCATTCTCAGCAAACTGGCACAAGAACAGAAAACCAAACACCACGTGTTCTCATTCATAAGCGGGTGTTGAACAATGAGAACACATGGACACAGGGAGGGGAACATCACACACCAGGGCCTGTTGGGGGGTAGGGAGGCTAGGGGAGGGATAGCAGGAGGTGGGGGGATTTGGGAGGGATAACGTTAAGAAAAATACCTAATGTAGATGACAGGGGGATGGATGCAGCAAACCACTATGGCGTATGTATACTATATAACAATCTTGCATGATCTGCACATGTACACCAGAACTTAAAGTATAATAATAATAAAGAAATAGTTTAAAGGCAATTACTTTTTTTTTTTTTTTTTGAGGTGGAGTCTTGCTCTGTCACCCAGGCTAGAGTGCAATGGTGCCATATTGGCTCACTGTAACCTCTGCCTCCCGGGTTCTGGCGATTCTCCCACCTAACCTCCTGAGTAGCTAAGACTATAGGTGTTCACCACCATGCCCAGCTAATTTTTGTATTTTTAGTAGAGATGAGGTTTTAGCATATTGGCCAGGCTGGTCTTGAACTCATGACCTCAGGAGATCCACCCACCATTGCCTACCAAAGTGCTGAGATTATAGGCATAAGCCACTGTACCCTACCGACAATTACTTTTATTCTCTCTCTTATTTACCATTTTCTCCATCGAGGGAGGGTTAGGTTAAATGACAGTATATCTTTAGAAAACTCCTATGTTGCACTATTTCTTATTTGCAAATAGAGAATGTCACTGCCTTCAAAGCCTGGCCCATTCTTACTACCCAATATGCTTAATAAGTAGCACAGAAACAAGAAAGCCCACTGTGATCAGAGAGAGTATGAGAGCCACACTGTACCACTGATATGCCATATGGCTGCAAATCTAAAGACTCTGAAAGATGCCGCACTTGTATTAAGCCCTGAATACCTGCTTTCATTCCCAGTTCGAGTGTTTGAGCTATAATATATCGGCCATCCATTTATTAAAGGAAAGAGCTTACTTTGGCATGGGATAAATTGGTGCTTGTAGCAAGATGCTGTTTAACACAAAGGACGTTTCTTGAATTCCTTTCAGATCTGAGATCCACAGCTCAAGAGTGTTTGGTGTGTGTGTTTTAAAACTGCACGACTATTATACAGTTCCTTTTCTTCAGCTGGCATGAGAAGGATATTCCCATCCTCTCTTTGCTCTGTTCTTTACTTCCTCAAAGCTGAGGCGGCAAGAACACTGCCAGCCTTATCCAGCTTTTCATGGAAAGCCGCCATTCTTAACTGGCGCCTAAATGCAATTTCAGACTGTCCCAGGAGACCTTCATGCTTTGAGGTGAATTTGTAACATTAGGGCCAACAAAGAAGTTAACACAAACTTTCACTGTTAAAAGAAAAAGAAAAAGAGTCTGCAGGCTTACTGAAGGAGCTCTGCTTCTGTGAGTGCCTCTGTCCTTGGCTCCCCAGTGACCATGGCCAGTTCATCCTTCAGTTCCTGGATTTCCTTTTGTAGGTGTTTAATTACCTACAAATGGCAAAGAGGCAGAGAAAATGCCAACTTCTCATTAAGGTGAACTTGGTGACAGAGAACACACGGCTCTTAAAATTATCATCAATTTTATAGACACAAAAATGGGTAAAGGTATAAAAAGTAAGCTTTGTTATATCTTAATGTTTTGTCAAAATCATTCTAGAATTTTTTTAAAGCAAATAAAACATGACTGGTGTAACTGGAACCCGCTATTGTATCCCTCTTCCATGCTTCCTGGGGTGGTCACTGTACTGCATTTAAGGAGTCTCATTTCTCTGTGTGTTTTCATACATTTACTCCATATGTATTCATGTACCCATAAATAATGTATTGCATTATTTTGCAAGCCTTAAACTTTATGTAAATGTTACATTACTGCATATATTTGCAACTTGTTTTTGTCCTTCACATTCTGTTTTTAAGCTTATTTATATTGCTTCATGTGGCTCTAGTTCATTAATTTTCATGGATATATAGTATTTCAGTAAAGGAATATATCAGAATCTATTTGTCTCCCGTAGATGAATATTTAGGATATTTACTTTTGCTATTATGAACAATGTTGCTATGAACATTATGAATCTCTCCAGGCACGTATGTAAGACTTTCTCTATAGTGTACACTTTAGAAGTAGGATTTCCTGGCTGGAGAGTATGTGCATCTTGCCTTTATTATATGTCGTTAAATTGGTCATCAGATAAGTTGTACAAATTTGTATTCCTATCAACTACAGATGTAAGTTCCTGTTTCCCACATTTTTGTCACTATGTAATATTGACAGGTACTTTCATTTTGCCAGTCTGATAGGTGTAAAATGGTATCTCATTTTGTTTCTAATTTGCATTTTTGTGATTATTTGTGAAGTTGATCATTTTTGCATATGTATATTGGCAGTTTGGGTTCTTTCTTGCTCAAATTATTTATTCACATTCTTGCCCATGTTTCAATTTACTTGTTTTCCTTTCCTTATTGATATGCTAGCTTCTTTCTATATTCTGGATGGGAATCCTTTGTTAGCTTTAAGCAGTGCACCTGTTTTCTCTCAATCTAGGTCAGGTTTTTCACTTTGTGGTGTTCTTTTGGTTAAATGAAAGTTCTGAATTTCAGTATAATCTAATTAGCACCTTCTTCCTTTATGAGTTGTACTTTTGTGTCATTTTAAAGAAAATCTATCTTATCCTAAATCATAAGAATATATTCTTACATGATCTTTTAAAAATGTTAAACGTTTGATTTTTCACATTTAGGTGGATTTTATTTTGTATAAGATATAAAATAGGAATCAAATTTTAATTTATTTTAAATGGCTAGCCATACAAGATTTGCTATTATATTATATAACATGTGTATATATATAAATGTGTCTGTTTCTGGGCTATTGGTTAAAAACATTTGTTTACTTTACTATATATGGCAATACCACACTGATTTAACTACTAAATCCTAAGAAAGTTGGCACCTAGATAAGATCAGCCCCTTTCACCTTGTTCTTTTCCAAAATAGACTTGGCTATTCTTGGCCATTTGCTCTTCCATGAAATTTTAGACCCAACTTGTCAAAGTCTACCAAAGGCTCTCCTCAAATTTTGACTGGAATTATTACATTTAAATAAAAGGTTAATTTGGTAGGACATCACATTAATGATATTAAATTATCCCATCCATAAACATGGTATAGCTCTCCAACTGATTCCTTTACATAAGGATTTATAATTTTCTTTATAAATACCTTACATGTCTTCAATTACATTTTCTATTAGAAATTTAAAAGTTTTTGTTGATACTGTAAACAGAATTTTTATAAAATTATATATTCTAATTTTTGGTTTCTGGAATACAGGAAAGGTAACTCATTTTTATGTATAGATTATATAACAAATAATTTTCTCAAACTCTGGGGGTTTCATTTATCATTAAATACTCTTGGATGTTCTATATAAGCAATAAAATTGTCTACAAGTAATGACATGCTTTTCTTCTTTTCTAATTCTATAGATTTTATATCTTGTTATTGTCTCATTTTCCTAGCTAGGACTTCCAAGTTCAATTCATAAGACATTTCTGTGTTATTTCTTCTAATATTTCACCTTTAAATGATGTTTACTATAGTTTTTGGTTGATACCCTTATTCAGTTTAAAGATGTTCACTTATATTCATAGTTTGATGTGTCTTTTCAAAGTATGGTTGAATGTTTAATATGCTCAAACACTTTTTCTGCAACTAGAGATGAAATAATATAATTTCTCTCTTTAAGCTCTGAATGTGATAAATCAACTAATTCATGTGATTAGTATTTTAGTATAAACCATCTCAGGTATGTAAAATAGTGCAAAAGAATACCTTGTACCCAGTACTTAGCTTAAGTGATCATCCAGGTACCCACTACTTAAGAAATGGAATATTACAGACCTGTTTAAAGATCTCACCCCTACACAGTCTTCCCTGAATAAATTCCCCATTACCATTATCCTAAATTTGGTTTTAATTTTTCCCATTTTTTTCTTATGCTATACATTGATGCATTTTCTAGTGATAGATCACCTTGAATTCCCAAAATAAACCCAGCTCAGTCATGATACCACGTCATATTAATAACCTTCCTATCATAATGCAAAATTAGCAGGCTTGATCCAGCTTTTATTCCTTCTTGAATATTTGGTATTACTCAAAACTTGAAAGAAAAAGTTTCTTTCTGGGCCGTCCTTCCTTCCTTCTTTCCTCTCAGTAGCTTTACTCATTAGACTAAAAGGGTTAGTAAATTTGAACCTCAAATCTATGTGAGGTGGAGCTAGGTTTCAAATGTTCAGAGAAACTACTTTTGTTCTGCCTAGAGTCCAGTCTAAAGTGGACAAGCTGCCCTGACATCTCCATGTGGTAGTGGATAGATTGTTTCCTTTTCTAGTTCTCCCTTTCACTGGTTTTATGTTGGGGAAAGGAGAGGATGTCTTAGGTTCAGTACCCATCTTGCCACATCCCAGGGCTTTGATCTCTGTTCCTTTGCTACAACCTCCTTTACATCTCCACTCCAGGACAACTGCAGCCTCTGCTTAGTTTCTGGGCCCTAGAGGATTCCCTTACTTCCTTTCAACCTTACATATGTATTTCAATGATGCTTGGGTGTACACGTGAGTTTCAGATTATTTGGACCATATCAAGACGACCAGCAGTCCCAAAGAACATGATATTGAGTATTTTGAACATCTCAGTGCTCCTAGAATTTTACTGAAATGTACAGGATCATGTGGGTTTTGTTTGCTTCTTTAAAAAAAAAAATAGTCTTAGGATCATCAATCTAACACAGAATGAAAATCTTGAGACAGTCACTACATTGGCACCTTTCTCTATTAAACCAACATTGATGTCATATTCTATTTTTACTAAGGCTTTTAAAGTCAAATCTAATACCAAATTATCTTCCTGTCTTTGAACAAAAATCTCAAAACTAAGCCAAGTTTTTGTGGTTCTGAGATGACTGCAGTTATGCATCTCATCCAGCTACTGAAGGGACCCTGGCATTAGAGGCATCCTTAGGAGATTTGAGCTCATGCCCCATCACCACAGGCTCTGGCCTTGTTCATAGTTCTTTGATCATTTTGATTCTCTGAGGTACCAATACTTTTAAAGGAAGCAGAGCAACTCCTTGGTGATTATGATCATATAGGCTGGCTCTATATTTGCCATTAATTTTGACAGTAAATGCCACCCAAGTTTTGTTTTGAGTGGTTTGTAGGACAAATTCTCAATTGTCACTTGTGCCTCAGACAAGCTCTGTATAAAATGACTGACGGTAATGTCAGTTTTTAGAAGCAATTATAAAAGAGACCAGGAACCAACACTGGTCAATTACCAGATTAGTCTGCACCAGGAAGACCTCAATATTTGTTCAATTATCAGCTATTAGCTTTTGATTCCTGATTTCTCTTTTCTTCAAAACTCTCACAGACCCATATCAAACACATGATAATGTTTACCTTTCTTCAAATTCTTCGCGTTCCTTCAAAAGAAAGTCTCTAGTCAAATGCAAAAAAACAAAACAAAACAAAAACGCTCCAATGTGCGTAATATGTTTATTTTCCTTAAATTATGAACTAATTTTTGTCTTGGGGCCAATAACTTTAACTCTCTCATTCAGCACTGTAATGCTACTGGGGTGCTGGAAGGGTAGGGACAGCAACAAAATCCACCCTAGGAGTTCAGTTCCACTTGAATCATGCCTTTTCATTCTGTCTCCTTTTTCCAGCAGGAACACTGTGTGCTGCTGATTCCTCACCAGGGACTATCCTGAAATAGATCCTGCCTCACTCATTGGTTTCTCCAGAAGAGAACTCCATCAGAGGAATGTGGTGCTTTCTGAGGCAAGCAGAATAAAACAGATAGCCTCATTATTCCTTTGTCCTCCTCTCCCTCTGTCCTTCCATAGGGAGAAGGAGGAGAAAAGACAAATAAGAGGAAGTAATTATGGGAAACAACTAATTTGATAATTTTTTTGGATTTGGGAAATTTGTAAATGAAACACTGTTGGTAAGATTTCACATCATTTTTTTTTTTATAATGCAGATTACTAAACCCACACTAGCTTATTTACTAGAGAAATAAGAAAAACGGAGTGATTTGAAAAACAATGTAACATTAATTATGGATTTTGATACAATTGAGATATTTTAACATTTTCAATGTTGGCATAAATGGATTCAGTGTTGTATTTCATTTACAGAAAACTAACAAAATAGAGAATAGAAAACTTCTGCATCTATGATGAACTAAATTATTACCATGTAAATTTTTTGTTTTTTTTTGTTTTTGTTTTTGTTTTTTTGCTTAAAAACAGTGCTTTGATAAAGCAGAATTTATTGTTATAAAAATATAAGTTTGACTATTGTTCTACGGATCAAACCAATAATGAATTTTTAAAAACTCCAGAACAAGTAACAGAGCAAGTATGTAAAATACGGTTCTACTGAATATGAGGACTTCTCTTTCTAAGCTTTCATATAAGGTGGACTATTATAGTCTCTAGATGGTTAAAGTGATGTATTTTGAAAGGCTAAGTTCTGCATGTAATTGTAATTGGGTGTGATTCTGTTGGATGAGTCCTTAGGACTCCCTGTGTGTCCTGTAGTGAAGCAGTAAGGAGCAGCCGGTAGGAAGAGCAGAGGCTCTTGAGTTAAACAGAAGTAGCCTGCCTCTGCTACTTATTAACACTATGACTCTGAGCAAGTTCTCAAACATCTTTTTACCTCAGTTTTGTTATCATTGAGGTGGAGATAGAGATAGCATCTATTAGGTTATTTGGAGGATTAAACGAATTAGTATGTTTCCACCACTTAGAACAGTCCCAGTACCGAGTAGGTGCACCTACAAGTTTTAGCTAATCTTTGATATACTTTAATATATATTTTTTACTATGGTTAAAAGTTGCTTACCAATCTAGGATCAATTTCTTCATTGAGAACAGCTTCATTCTTTATGAGTGCCACTCGCTGTGCAAATCTGCAGGTAGATATAGACTCCTAAGAAAGCAAAGTAACTTCTTAAAATATTATGGCATAGATAGATCTTTCTCTCTAGATAAAACTTAAATTTTTTTCCACAGAAAAAAGATACACACCTAAAGAGTGATGTGTATAAAAATCACAATGAGGAACCAAGCCCCTAAATTAGGAAGCTTTGCTCTAGAATAGCAGTCCCCAACCTTTTTGGCAGAGGGACTGGTTTTGTGGAAGACAATTTTTCCATGGAAAAGGGGTACAGGTGGTGTGGTTTCAGGATGAAACTGTTTCAACTCAGAACATCAGGCATTAGATTCTCATAAGGAGTGCCCAACCTAGATCCCTTGTCTGTGCAGTTCACAATTGGGTTTGTGCTCCTATGAGAATCTAATGCCACCACTGATCAAAAGGAGGTGGAGCCCAGGCTGTAACGCTCGCTCCACCACCACTCCCCTCCTGCTGTGCAGCCCAGTTCCTAACAGGCCACAGACCTGGTACTGGTCCATGGTCTGGGGGTTGGGGACTCTTGCTCTAGAACATCATTTTTAAACCAAATTTGATTTTGACTTAATAAAATTACCAGTGCCAAAAAGTGAGAGATCCTAAGGTCCTAAGCGGCAGCTGGTATAGTATGTGTTTTCAGTTGCTGATCACTTAGACTGGAACCACATACAGTATATGAATCATAATCATAGCAAGAGCCATAATCTACACACATGAAGGATCACAAAATAAAGGTTTCTAACAGGTCAAAAAAGAGAGGCAGGTCAAGGCATCTTGCAATCAAAGTCTTGGCCTTGTTTTAAGAACGACCTTGCCTGTTTTCCTCTTCTGGGGAATGTCTGGATCCCAAACATTAAACATCATCTGGTTTTAAAGCAACCCAGAAGAGCCAATCAGCATCTAGCTCCCACCAAGGCATCTTGATTGCTTCACTCAGCGACATTTCTAGGGACACATCTCAGAGATGTGTCCAAGGTATCTAGGTCTTAGTCATCAGGGCAAAATCAAGCAAGAGAAGTGGAGGGGTCAGCTCTCCCATTTCTTTGGGTGACGTATGGCCAATCCATCAGCAGGCCTTCCAAATTAGCATATGAGGCTTCTTCAAACTATCCTGTGCTATATGAAGTCAATTCTCAAATGGAGTTATTATAATAATGATAAATAGCCCAAAGCTGTGAACTCTGTAGGGCACAGACCTCTGAAGGCATATCTCAACCCAGCTGAAAAAGTGGAAACCCACCCAAGATCCTCAACTCTGTCTCACGAGCTAGCAGTGAAAACCCAGATTAAGATCACCAGAAACGAGAGCCAACATACATCAAGATTCCTTTTCTCTAAAGAGAGTGTTGCAATCATAGTTGTCATGCAGTTCCCTCCCAAACTGTCTCTTAGGACACTGGTCATCATGGAGTTTCTATAAGGAATGTGTGAACGATGCTTTTCTGAAAGAGCGATGATAACCTGTGGTAACGTAGAAATGTAATGGGATCGATTTAGCAGAAAATGCACACCTGACAAACAATGGAGCTTCAACAGCAGTGAGAATACAAAAGGAAATAATAACTAAATGCAGCGTGAAGCCCAAAACTTGAGAACAGAATAAACAGCTTAACAACAATATTCAGATGGTAAAGACTCAATAAAGTAAATGTAGCATAACTGTGGCATTGTGAGCCCCATAATTTTTGGACAAATGAAATAACCTGTATAGTATTGGATACACTATTATTCTGCTTTTAGTGATTGGAAAATGTGTATAAAAACACAAGAGTAAAACATGCCTGATAAATACTACCAAAATTGGGCTGTACACCAGTAAACAAGAACTTAGGGAAACAGTTAAGGATAGTGGTTGAGGTCCCAGAGTCTCAAGCAAGACTGTCCAGGTGCAAGTCCTAGCTTTCCTAGGGCACATCACTCAACATGCCTCAGTCTCCTCATCTGTAAAATAGGAATAAAAATAGTACCTAACTCAAAGGTAGTTGAGATGATTAAAAGAGTTAAAATGTGCAAATTACTTTGAATAGTACCTAACCTAAAACAAGTGCTGTATATAGGCTTGCTCCCATTGTAAGCAACAGGAGTAATTTACCTTGGTTCAACTCCGGCTGGCTCATCTTACTCTTCATGAGTTCCTTAGGTACTTAATAAGAAGGTACTAGATGGATAGATGGCAGATGTAGCAAAGGCTGCTGGGGTTGTCCTAAAAGGAGGCAGCTGAGGCTCAGGGTTATCCTGGGCAGACAAATCCCGTGCTAGAATGTTCATTACAGAGCGGCAGTAATCAGCCACCCACAGGATGTGTCTTCAAGGACATCACAGGACCTTGGCTCCTGAAAATACCTCCGCCAGCACCTGTAATTGTTCTAGTCCTCCCTTCTCCCAGGAGTGTAATTTCCATTACCAGAACCTCCACTACAATGTTGGTTTACAAAACAAAAAGGGAGCATTGTTTTTTGAAGGCTGTTTTGAGCAAAATATACAACTATACCACTAGTCTCACTCTAAATTCATGACCACAGATGTTAGTACAATTCAGTAATCCTGTGATCTCTGTCTCAGAAATCACTTTTCAACTCTCAGAAATAAGACCTTCACACTTTCTTTTTTTTCAAATCTTTGTTCACCTTCTCCTTCTCTCCTCTATTTCAGTTTGAGCTGATGGCCACACTTCTACTAGATATGACAGATATAGATTCAGAACCCTGACCAGAGCTATCTCATGTCTCCATCATTAAAGCCCCTATACACTCTGCCCTTCACCTTCTTATTGTTCTGCTGCTGTCTAAGGCCAGCCCTCCATCCTTGCCATGACTCATCTGCTCTCTCCTACCTTTCTCCTACAATTACTTCCTCTCTCATCTGAAATAATTTCCCTTTCATCTGCACAATTCCGATTCTGCATGCCCACTACAGTCCTAAATGAAGATGGCTCTTGCCAAGTTCATCAGCAACCTTCATTGTACCAAGAGCACTGATTGCCCTCTTACTGGACTTCAGAGCTGAGTAAGTATGCAACACTGTTACCCACTGCCTCTCTTGGGAAACACTGTTCACTTGGTAACTGGGACACCACACTTTACTGGTTTTCATCTTTCCTCAAAAACTAGTCAATGAATGTTTCTTTTTCTTATTCCCAAATTACAAACTTTGGAGTGCCCCAGGGCTCAGTTCTTGATCCTCTTTTCTGTCTTATCTACATTCTCTCCCTATGTAATCTCATCCAATCACCTGGCTTTAATTATTATTTTATTAACTTATTTATTTGAGACAGAGTTTCTCTCTGTTGCACAAGCTGGAGTGCTGAAGTGCTGTGGCATGATCTCAGCTCACTGTAGCCTTTACTCCTGGGTTCAAGTGATCCTCGTGCCTCAGCCTCTGTAGCTAGGATTACAGGCATGCACCACTATGCCCAGCTAATTTTTTGTGTTTTTAGTAGAGACAGGGTTTTGCTATGTTGGCCAGGCTGGTCTCAAACTCCTGGCCTCAAGTAATCCACCCACCTCGGCCTCCCAAAGTGCTAGGATTACAGATGTGAACCACCATGCCCAGCCACTGCCTGGCTTTTAAATGCATCTATAGCCTGATGTCTTCCCAATTTATACCATCAATCTCAACCTCTTCCCTGAGCTACTATCACCTTGGCAACTCTCCATCTCTACCAGGATTTCTATTCTTGATTTTCTTTCCTCTCTGCCTTCAAGCCTGATTCTTTCTCAGACCTTACCCATAATCATTATGGCCCCACCATCAACCCGGTTGCTCAGGCCAAAACCTTAGGCAATCACCCTTGATTTGCCCTCACCCAATATACAATCCATCAGCAATTTCTATTAGGTTTACCTACAACACTTGCCAGGAATTGGACCACTTCTTATCACCTCTTCTTACCACCACCACTCCAGTTCAATCCTCTGGGGTCCCTTGCTTGGGCAACCACACAGGCCTTGGATTAGTCCCCCTGCTTCTACTTTTGCCCTTCCATGATCTGATCTTCACATAGCAGCCAGAGAACTCTTCACACAATGTTAAGTTATGCCAAGTCACTCCCTAATACGCTTAGCATAATATCCTAGCTCCTGTGTGATCTGTCCGTCTACCTACCTGACATCATGTCCTGCCATGTTCCCTGCGCCTGCACTGGCCTTCTGATTGTTGATTCAGCATGATGAGCTTATTCCCATACCAGAGCCTCTGAAACTACTGTTCTTTTTGCCTAGCATGCTCTTGACCCAGACTTCTGTGCAGCTTTCTGCTTCTCATTACTCACATCTTTGCTCAAATTTTGTTTTCTCACAAGGGCTTCCCCTGGACACCCTATCAAAAATAATACACCTACCTCCAGCCTGTTAATCTATTTTATTTTTCTTATAGTATGCATCACTATTAAAATTACATCTAGGTACTTGTTTGTTGTCTGCTTCCCCACTAGGCTTTCTGCTCCACAAGACCAGAGATGTTGTCTCTTTTCTTCATAGCTTGGCCCCCACTGCCTAGAACAGTGCTCAGTACTTGGTAACATAGCAGAAACAAAGCTGTCTCCCTCAGCTCTCATGGCAGCCCACCTTCTAGTTTGACTTCCTATGAAATTATTTCTCCTAGTCTGTCTTGAAACTCATGTTTTGCTTAAGACAGAGCTCCACCATGCAGACAGCCCTATGTGGGGTTTGGAGGTGAGCAGTGAGAGGTGGTAGGCATAAGGAGGAACTTCAGATTTGTAGGGGGCATGGTGGCAGAGGCATCTCATTCTTCTGAGGCAGCTGTGGGGAAGTTTCTGGAATTCAGTGCCATGTGGCTATACAGTAACACTTTGCTGCGCAGTTCAGTGGTGTGGTTAGGTGCGTCTCCTGGTTGCTCTGTGTAGCAGCCAAACCCAGTTTTCTGATTTTTTTGAGATTCTTTATGTTTAATAAACCATGCTTCTTAAAACAGCTAGTGGATTTTCCAGTTTACAACTAAGACACTTGACAAATATAACATGTGCTCGACACACCTTTGTCAAATAAATCAATTAATGAATGAGATTACTTAGTATGTCCTAGGAAGGCAGCAAGAAGCTCGTCAGTATGGAAGGAGGTTTGAGAGAACTAAGTTTCAGTGTAACTGGAAAGGAGGTGGGGAATATGGAGACCAAAGTCAGAGTGGCAAGAGATGCCAAGCAGAACTCCAGGCTCTAAGAGTGAAGAGGACAGATTAAGTATCTAAAAACGTGCAAGGAGGGCCCAAATATCCAAATGGGCTGGGCTGACAGATGTGCAGAGACAGTGGCATTATTGCTCATCAATAATTTCTCTAAGTACTTTGAAGTCCTTTTATAAAACAAATGTCACTGGTTTTATCCTGCTCTAGGAAACAATATTGATGTCTTTTCATTCAATGGCTTTATTGACAACTTAAAGGAGGATATGCTTATTAAACTTCCTGTTGACATTAATTTTCTTTTTTGAGGTGGAGCTTCGCTCTTGTTGCTCAGGCTGGAGTGTAATGGCGCGATCTCAGCTCACTAAAACTTCTGCCTCCCAAGTTCAAGCGATTCTCCTCCCTCAGCCTCCCAAGTAGCTGGGATTACAGGCGTTTCCACCACCACACCTAACTAATTTTGTATTTTTAGTACAGATGGGTTTCACCATGTTGGCCAGGTCGGTCTCAAACTCTTGACCTCAAGTGATCCACCCACCTCAGCCTCCCAAAGTGCTGGGATTACAGGCGTGAGCCACCGTGCCCGGCCCCAGTTGATATTAAATTAATCATGTGTTAGTAAACTTGCTTTTGGTTGCAAGAAACAGAAAATGTAACCCAAACTGGTTTTAAGTATAAGGAAAGTGTATTGGTTCATGTGATTGAAATAGGAAAGGCTTTAAGTTAGAAGGAAACCAAAAGATTAATGCTACCATCAAGGACTTAGTTTTTGCTCATATCTCTGCTATGTCTTCCATGTGGTAGAAGTCAGTCTCTTCTTGTGGCCCCACAATGGTTGCCAAAAGCCCTGATGTTATATACTTCCTTATTCATAACTTAGGTGAGAAAGAATTTTTCTTTCCTAATCATTAAACAAATTCCTGCGGTTCAGTAGAAATGAGCTTGGGTCCTGGGCCCATCCTTGAACTAATCACTGTAGCCAGGAGATAGACAGGCTCCAATTCACTTAGATCAGTCAGGATCTACCTGACAAGTTGGGATGGGCTCTTGGATGCGCTTTGCACTGGCATGGACATTGCAGAGGCAATTCCAACGTCCTCTCTAGAAAGGGCTTTCTAAAGAATTGGAGATCAAATTGGGATGATAGATTAGAAAATACGGTCTTAGAAATGGAGAAAATGAAGGCAGTCATCTTAGGGAAATCTCTTAAATAAAGTGAACCTCTTAAATAAAGTGAGTCTCAGTTCCCTCACTTGTAAAAGTAGTATTGAAATGTCTGTCTATCTCACAGAAATGTTTTAAAAATTAATAATTTCTGGAATCATTCTTAGTAAACAAAAAAGCACTCAGTGTTATTGAAAGAAATGTTCTTTATAAAATGTTCATGTAATGTTCTTTATGAAACTCTTGAAGACTAATTTTCACCGTATCAACACATTTGCGGGCCATTTCTTTAGAAGAGGACCCTTAGAAGGTATCTTATCAGCTCTCAAGGAGCTTTAGGAATGCCATAAGCCCAGCCCACTTGGAGCAGATGTAAAACTCTGGAATGACCCAGAAACAGCAGATAATCAGGAAAGAGGCAGAGGTAGATTATTCTTTGTGGGGCTGCTATGGGTTCTTAAATTGGACAGGAACCACATTTTCTGAAAGGCACAAGAAAATGGGGTAGTCATAAAACCTGACTTTTTAATTTTTATTCTTTCCATCTTAGATTGCATGTACAAATACAATGGCAAATATTCCTGAAGTCATTCTTTAAGTGACAAGGAGTGGAACCTCACATTATGCTTAATAATATCTCCAAGTATCTGAAAACTGTGCCTGTAATCAATAATTCTATTTACTATTTAATTAGTTAAAGATTTTTTTTTAAAGGAGGTTGGAAGTCTTTGGAAAATTATCCTATGAAAATTGACAAAGATTTGGAGTGTTACAACTGGCACTGACACCATTACTTTTTCTTCTGAACACAACACATTCAGTGGAAGCCAAATAGAAACTAAAACTCTGAAAAAGTCCCATTTATTTTGAATAAGGGCTGAAGGCAACTCCAATTCTGATTTCTGTAGTGGTCCAGAGCAAGCACTTCATTTCTAGTGGTTTCTCACTTGATGTTTGGGCTGATAGAGGCTATGGGTCACACCAGGAGCACTCGGTGAGATTTAGGACAAGTATGCATGTCTCCCTTTTCCTCCCATAAACTCAGTTTCTAGGGCCAAGATGTACCCTGTTATTGTGGCTTAAAATGTTTTTGAGGAAACTTTTTGCAAAAAGTACTGCATACACAAGGAGAACTCCAAAACCCACAATACTCTGGCAAACAGAAAAGTTATTTACTTGTGAACACATAAAGTACATTCAACTCAGAGAGGCTACCCACTTTGAGCAGGTGTGAGATTTCACAGTCATGGCCAAAAAGTAATTATAATGCTGCAGGGAATTTGTGGAACCAATGTAGGCTAACTGAAGTTAACACAAGTTACCAGATGATTTCCCATTCCATCTCTATCTTATATATTGAAACTGAGAAAGAGAGGATGTAATTGATTCCCAACACTCAGATGGATTTCTATTACAGATCTCAAATAACTGTACTGCTAAGTATTTATTTGTATGCTTTGCTATTCTGCTGGCTAACATGATAGCCTGGCCTACTTCTCGTCATTCATCTATCCCCATTGCCCAACATAACTGAAGCCCCAGTAAATATTCAATCACAATTTGCTGAATGAATGAATGAAGCTAATTAAATTAAATTGTGTTATATTTGCAGTCTTATTAGTCCCATAATAAAGTACTACATAAAGAGAAGTTGATTAACAAAGGTCCTTGAATTTTGTTATTCATTAAATATCTTCCTATTCCTATCTTCTTATTCCTATGTACTCCCTCGTTTTCTCTTATTTCTTTCTGTGTGAAATTCAAAATTTCTCTTCTACCAACCTACTTACTCTCTAGCACCTACTCCTAGATTCACTCAGCCTCACATGTCCATGCTCACAGACTAGTTTTCCCATATTTATGTTTTTCTTTCCTCTCCCACTAAACTCCTCTCTCTCCATTATCTCATGTTGAACCTCCTCTTTTCCTGTGAAGACACTTGTATATCAGTGTAAATGGTTAACAGCTGGAGTGATGCAGTGGGTGAAAATGAAACATCAGTTACAGAGACCAAGGGCCAATGACATGTGAATGTTATCGAGACCCTGAGCAAATTCACCCCCCTGGGCTGGAGCTAAGAGCCGACAGGCTGGCAATTCCCACTGCCTACACACTCTGCCCCATCCTTAATTGGCTCAACCCTACTCATTCCTCCAGTCTCTGCATGGTATCAGGCCCTAAGAAAACCATCATCACCTCTCACCTCCTCAGTCTCAGTCAGATACCCCACTGCAAGCTCCTCTCACTCCTTTTACTTTCTCTTCACTGCTCTCACCTGGCTTACAGCCACATACTTAAAGAATATGCCTTTAATTCCTGTCTCCCTACACTGAACCAAGAGGTCTTTGGGGAAAGGACTGTTTCTATTTCGTTCACCACTAGGCACCAGTGCCTAGTGCAGCCCTCAGCACATTGTAGTTCATTATAAATATTTGTTAGATAAATAAATTAATGATATAGAAAATCCAATGCCACATAGCCCCCAAGACTACTCACACGAGGCTGTCATAAGAATTTTGAAGGGAAGAAATGTGAGGAGAGGAACAGTTTTAGTGACAAGTAGCAGCTTATAATGGCTTATAGGATAAAAAAAAAAAAAGAATTAAGGGCAGAACATTTCTCTTGAGTGATTACAATTGGTGGGAAGTCTGATTCAACTGATGAACATAATTTTGTATGAACAGATGGATATAATGGAAATTAAAACAGACAGCGCTACCATCCGAAACAAGCAGACGCATTTCTTTGAAATAAAGCACTTTGAATACAGCCCGTTATGTTTTCATATCAATGTTCTGTAAGTGTTCTATTAAGTAAAAAGCTCTGTTAAGTATAAGCAGTGTGTAACATTTGAGCAAGAAAGAGCTTAGGAATGCCGACTCTTGTTAAAAACACTAAAATGATCTGAATGCCAGGCTGGCCTTAATCTCTGGGTGCTGCATGACTGGGATTCATCTGGTTAGAGTGTAGCCACGTGTACCTTGCTCAGATAGGGTCCCTTAGGTTTCTCTCCATCTGCTTTTTTAGCCAATGTGACCACCACATAGCATTTAACAATGAAGCAACATCAGTCTCAGAAGCATTCATTAAGCAGTTTAAAAAAATGTTTTATTTTTTCCCCTCTAATCTTTTAGCCGAATCATTAACAAGTCCTTCAGTCTCACCAAGAGTCTGTACTTCTCCAATCACATTTTTGATCGTGTTTCTTATTTATTTTATTTTTTGAATTTGGAAGTAGTTGCCATCTTTAACATTCAACTCACAGCCCTTATACTCAGAAAGCTAAATGGAACTTGAGAAATCATCTAATTCAATCCACTCATTTTAGAGATGAATATATTTTTTCTGAAAGACTTTATTTAGCTAAATTCAGATGAGTGTTCTCTCCTCTGGCATTAAATTCAGAAATTAAAAATAGAGCCCATACTGGGATGGATTGTAATCAGCTTGGGGTAGAAGTAGGAAGAGAAAGCTACAAGTCTAAAAGAACCATCATGGGGTCAAAATTACCAACTAAATAAAGTATCCCCAAGCAGAAAACATGTCAGCCATCTCAAAGTTATGTTCCCATTGTTAATCTACTAGCTTGAAAACAGGCAACAGGAAGCCAACTGTAACTTCTACTTACCAACTACTAATTTTACAATAAGGCAGTAAGACAAAAAGTGAAAAAGGGTATAGGCTGTGAAGCCTAGCAAATCTAGATTCAAATCCTCACCCTCCCCTAGCTGGGTAACCTTGTGGGAAGACTTTTGGAAGACTTAAATTTTAAAATCTATATGATGGGGATAGTAACTAATGCCTACAATCTAGGGCTGTTGTGAGGTTTCAATAAAATGGTAGATACAAAATGCTAGTAGATCTACCAATGTTCCCAGCAGTATTAGTCACAATAGCCAAAAGGCAAAAACAATGCAACTATCCATCAGGGATGAATGTATAAACAGTATGTGACACAGACATACAATTGGATATTATTCAGTTTAAAAAAGGAAGAAATTCTGATACATGCTACAACATGGATGAAGCTTGAAAACATTATGCTAAGTGAAATAAGCCAGACACAAACAGACAGCTGTTGTATAACTCCACTTACATGAGACACCTGGAAGAGGCAAATTTATAGAGACAGAAAGTAGAGTAGAGATTACCAGAGACCAGAGTATAGGGGAATGGGGAGATTCTGTTTGAGAGTATAAAAAACCTTCAGAAATGGATAGTGTTGATATTGCACAACTTTATAAATGTACTTAATGCCACTGAGTTGTACACTTAAAAATTATTAAAATGGCAAATTTTATATCTATTTTATCATAACAAAATTCTAAGAGAATGCCTGATACATAGTATGTGGTCAGCAAATAGTAGCTATAGTTATTAATGCATCCCACTCTGCCCATTTTACCTGCTCTAAGTAATGTAGTGACAAGTTGATATACTTGGCCTCTGTTAGAAGAAGGCCCCCTACTCCAGTCTTTGCGACTCGCTCTGAACCAGCCAGGTCAACCAAATGAAGTTTGGCATGTCGTACAGTTGCAGATCCTGGTTCCTTGCTTGACAAATGAACAGTGAAAATGCAGTGGGAACGGGTTGAAGCTTGGTTCATAGGAGTCTATAAAAAAATTGCAGAACAAAAATCATTTGAACAATGAGAATTTTTGAAGAATATCAAAAGTCCGAAAGTGATATTTTTAGGGATAAGACATTTCCCACGAAGCCAACTGTGAACTGCAGCAAAACCATTTGTAACTAAGACCTTTAAAGTAAGTTATTTTTAACGTATTACTAACTCTTGAATTACTGATGACCAATGTGGATGGTTTCACTCAGAAAGCGAGAAAAGAGTTCTAATGAGGTATAGATTGAGTCCTCTTGACAATAGAGCTTTATTTTATTACCTGACTATAATCCATACGTTAACCTTGGCTAGCCAGATTGAAAATGCTTAATGTTAATCTCATGGGAAAAAAGATGAGAATGTGTGTATCAGAAAAATGATCACAATTGTAAACACAATCCACAAAGAAACGTACCATCACTGCTACTACTCAACACTAAAGTGGAGGCCCTAGACAATATAATGAACAAGAAAAAGAAATAGAAGGCATAATAGTAGGAAAAGAAGAAATTTAAAATTCCATTATGTATAAAAAATATGGTGGTCTACATAGAAAATGCAAGAGCATCTGCAAACAAATGGCTAAGAACTGAAAAGTTTAGCATGGTTGCTGGATATGAGATGAATATATAAAATGAATGAGGTTCTAATAAGTCAGAGCAACAATTAATCAGAAAATATAATATTATTCACAATGGCAAGAAAGACAATGAAATAATAAGGGACGAATTTTATAAAGGATATGTAATTTATAGAAAAAATGATAAGATAACATTAAAGGGAGAAGAAAACTGGAATAAAGGGTGTACATGATATTAATGCACCATTTCATAGATGGAAAAACTCCAAACTAATCTATATATAAATGTCTATATATAACCTATATATTCAATGTGATTAAAATAAAAATGCTACAGCTTTTGTTTACAGAAAAAGACAAATTGATCCTAAATATCATACAGAAGAGAAATCTTCAAATAAAATGAAAAGTAATGCTGTTTACACTTCCTTATTGAAGTTGCTATATCAAAAAAGCAAAAGAAAAAAAAGCAAAAGTAATTCTGTGAAAGAAGAACAAAAAAAGGGACTTTCCTGCCATCTATCAAAGTATACCATAAAGCTACAGTAAATAGAACAGTGTGGTACTGGTGCAGGAGCAGAGATAGGTCAGTGAGACATGCTGTGCTCACTGAGGAGCTCTGTATGAGATAGAGGAGACATCATACCTCAGTGGAGGAAGGATGCACTTATTTAATAAATGGTGCTGGAATAACCAGCCATCTATCTTGAAAAAAATAACTTAGATTGCTTTCTTACACTATGAACACAAAGAAATTCCAGAATAGATTAAAGCTTTAAGTGTGAAATAACACAATTCTAGCACCAATACAATAAAACATGAAAGCATATTGTAATCAACCCAAGGAGGTAATGGATATTTTAAGAAAAGACATAAAACACAAAAATAAATTGATTTAAAATATATGACCAAGATAATCCAAAATGTAAAAACTTCTGTCTGATAAAATCCACCATAAAATTAAAACACTAGAAGACATCTGCAGTATATGTGGCTGACAGAACGTTAATAATAAATAAAGAACTTGGCTGGGTGCTGAGGCTCATACCTGTAATCCAGCACTTTGGGAGGCTGAGGTGGGTAGATCATTTGAGGTCAAGAGTTTGAGGCCAGCCTGACCAAAATGGTGAAACATGTGTCTACTAAAAATTCAAAAAAAAAAAAAAAAGCCAGGATTGGTGTCATATGTCTGTAGTGCCAGCTACTTGGGAGGTTGAGGCAGGAGAATTGCTTGAACCCAGGAGGCAGAGACTGCAATGAGCCAAGCTTATGTCACTACACTCCAGCCTGGGTGACAGAGCGACACTCCATCTCAAATAAATAAATAAATAAATAAATAAAAGAGCTCTTGCCAATCAGTAAGAAAAAGTGATCAAAGAACATAACTAGGTAACTTATAAAGAAGAAATCTGGAAACGGTTAATGAATATTTGGAAAAAATGCTCAAATTTATACATAATCAGAACCACATCACTTAGAACCATAAGGTTAAACTATTTTACACCCATCAGATTGGAAAAATTTTTAAAAATAGAGTCTAACAAAATAAGTGTTGGTGGAGATATAAGGAAATGGGAAATTTTATGTACTGCTGGTGGAAATGTAAATTAAGAACAAATGTTGAAAGCAATCTGATAATACACGGTAAAGTTGCAAATACATATAACCCACAGCAGCCATCAGTAAACTACTAGATATATTTACTAGAAAGAAAGAAATAGCAAGAAATCCGTGCAAGATGTACAACCTAAGTAGACATCTGTGGCAGAAAAGATTAGTAAACTGAGATAATTCAAATTACAGAGATGTTAAAATAAAGCAACTTTGGATAGATTAGCATAAATGGTTTTCTAAAATAGATCTGAGAGAAAAATGCAAGTTAAATAATAATATGAACACTATGATGCAATTTACAAAATTAAAAAAGCAATATTACATATTGTTCATGAAGCTATAACTTAGGTCATTAAGTATAAAAACACAGACCAGACGGATACACCAAATTAATGACAGCAATTGCATTTGTGAGGGATGGAAATGAAAGGCCAAGAAAGGGGCCTTCAGCTTTATCTGCAGTATTCTATTTCATTTAATTAAAAATTATTAGAAGCAATTCCTGGATTGGAAAACATGGATGTTGGTCACACTATTCTCTGCACTTTTTTGTGTTTTATATTTTTTGGAACAAGAAAGAAATTAATCTGATTCAAGACACAAGTGACAAGTTAGCAGTATCATCCTCTGAAACAACAACAACGACAACAAAAAAATATTCCAAATGAGCATTCATACAAATAAATATGTCCAGATCTCCACCTTTGCAAAGTAAGATTTAACCAAAAAAATTCGATATGGATGCACACATGTGCAGACAGGGTAACATATCTGAATGGTAATTCAACCAGAAATTCTTTTTGTAAATATAAATTATTGATATACACCATAGTTGATTTACACCAACTAGCAAAATAAACAGATGTCAAAATGCTGGCATAGTTTTGGTGATGATGATGTATCTAGTGAGTTAAACAGGCTGAAAATTTGACCCATTACTTGTTGCCACAATAACTATGCCCAAACCTGGCCAGTGTGTGATTTTGCCTGCTAAAGTGGATCAGCAAATAACTGTGCATGTAAAACCGCAAACTCAAATTTAGAACCTAAGTTGAGGTGTTTTGGAAGTGACTGTAAGTTATTTGCAGAACTTAAACATGGGTTTCATTTCACTGTCATATTCGCACAACAATAAATCCTACAATACTGCAAGAAAAGTCAAACTGACAATCAATATAAACAAATAACATGGAGACTTCTCAACAGCTGTCTTCAGCTTTGAAACAGATATTCTGAAACCATCATAAAATGTGAACCATTAATGAATATTGGTAGAGTGTACCCATTTCAAAGGAATATGAGATTCACAGAAACTAAAATTGCATATTCTGGAGTCTGTAATTAAAATGCAGTAATATGCTGTAGGAGTCCCTGCCTACAGTTTTGCAACTTCTTATAAATATTTTCTGCATGAAGTAGCAGTTGGTGTCCTCTTAGATAAAAATTTCTTAAACCTCAGAAAACATTCTTTATGTGGAGCTTTTCAAGTGTGATTGGATGTGCTTGTGTCTGCTCTGTGTTTATTTAAGGATGTCTTTATGTCTCATAGGCATGGCCCTACATTTGTCCTTTTAAAGGTAAAATTGTATTAAAACGTTTCTGAAACTGCCTAAGAACAGATGGCACCATTTAGGCAGATTCATTCAAAGTTAAGCACACATTTTAAACAAATGTGCTTTTGGCACTAGCGACTGTGCCTGTGGAAAAATTTTAGTGATGATTAATCATCTGCATGCAGAGAGCTTTCAGGTTTCCTATTAGCCTACGTATATCACTGTGTTAGGCAGTACAGAGACAAGAAGGAAAATAAGACCTGGATCTTGCCCTCAAGGAACTTATAATCTAGTCAGGATCTAAAGCCACAACGTGTGAAATGAGAATGAGCATGAAATGAGAAAGGCAAAATGTGCAGTAAAGAAAGTGATCTGTTCTTAGCAGTGAACATGCTGATCCTCTAGGTAACATCTGAAAATGCTAACCATTCCTTTGTTGTAGGAGCTCTCCACCTTCTGCCCACCACCTGGTTTCTAGGGCCAAATACTCTCCAGGCTCTTTCTCTTTCTCTATTGCTTTTTCCTTTACTCTGTACTCTTCTTTTCAGTCCCTAAAAATAGGTGTGTCCTAAGTTCTGGTAACCATATTTCTTCCTCTTAGAGACTCACCTTCTACAGTTCAAATCCTCACTGCATAGACTCTGTAGTATAATAAAAGTCACACCAAAAATCTCAGATTTTGGTGTCAGATAATCTGGTTTCAAGTCCTGGTTCTGTCACTTACTAGTGTTAAAAGCTTAATCAAATTTACATGAAGTAATTTTGATTTTCATGTTTCTAGAATGCCATATTAAGATCTGCTTCGTTGCAGAGTTATATTAAACACCAACTGAGTTACTGAGTGCTGAAGTGATCCGCCAAGCGTATTGGGTCGTATTAGTGTCACTGTTGACATTCACTTTATTCAGATGCCTCCTGTGTCCTTATCCTCTACCTTAATTGTTCTGTATACCAGATTAGAATGTCTAACAGTTTGACTGATCATAGTCATTAGAATGCCTTGCCAGCATCTTGTACACAATGTTCCCAAAACAACATTATCTCTTTCTCTCCCTGTGTCCCATGAATGGATATCCAACCCATTCTCCTCCTGTTGGATTTCCCTCCACTTCTCTGTATCTACATCAGTAGCCAAATATCTTTTACCTCACTTGGGTTAGCAGTCTCTCCCTTCTAGTCTCAGTCCTCTTGTCCCTCCCAATTGTTCTCCACCTCTCAGACAAAGTAGTATTTTTAAAAGGCATAGT